TTTTGTATGGTAATATTATCATTCTCGCATCGTTCTTCCCAAAATCTGGCACGTAGTGACAGGATTCTCGGGTCACCCACGGTGTCATGGAAAATTCGGAGACCTCGGCGGATCAATACATATTTATCACTGTAAAACGCCAAACGTTCCATTGCAATCTTCGTTCGATAGCGTATGAGTGAAGCCGCGGCCAGCAGCGTATCCTCACGTCTCCAGGCTATGTTTGGGATTATATCCGTAGATTCGGCTATTCCGGGTAGGAACGGATCAATCTGGATAACGGGATCATTGGGGTTGATCCGACTGATTTGCATAAGTGCTGCTTCTGATTCTGGTTCTGTAATCCGGCGTAACTGTGGCTCTTTACGGTATCCGCGTGGAAGTACGAATGTTTTTGCGAACTGAGATCCCACGGGGATAATTACGTGTGACGCTGTAAAAAAATGGACATCAGATGTGTTGCAGAAAGCAACGGAACAATGCGATCGTAATAACTTGGAAATAGATGCTTTGTTGTGCAACGCATTAGTATCACCAAGTTATTATGCCCTGCTAGCTGTAATAATTTTTGCAAACAGTTTTTAAACGGCAGGTAATAGTTTATGTTACATGACGATAAGAAACGTGAGATGTGCGGCATGTATTACTTTTCGTTCAAATCAAATAAACTAGGCACTGAATAGTCAAACAGATGCTCGAGTACAAACACACAACAGACTTAGTAAGGAATTCTCCACAAACTCCCTCTGAGACACCCACAATCAGATGTAAGTTGGAATTGGAGCAAATTGGGTGCAAAATAAATTAAGCACAAGTAATTTTATACAATCTGTGTGAATAAATATTATCAGAACAAATGAATGAATTAAAAAAGGCTACACAAAGAAACAATATGGAAATAATATGAGTGAATATTATCAGAAGATATATATGGAATCAAGGATATGATTCGAATAAATAGCTTGAACAAATTCAGTTGATGAAGAAAGGAAATACAGATGAAGTCAGCATATTATATCTGACTGGAAGATATGGAAAGCGAACGGCGGTCAAAAACACGTAAATAATTCAATACAGATTATCAGATTATCCGTGAACTGTGACAGCAAGAGTGAAGAAAGGGATGAAATAATTTGAGCTGTAAGAGAAAGAGAGACAAGCGAAAGTGAGCAGACAGCAGTTGATAGGAAGTGAGCGAACTGCTGATAGGGAATAGTTTGCAACTGAACGTTATCGGTCATAAACTTGAGCTATCTGCGGTATCTCCTAGGGTCAAAGTTCAAAATATGACCTCATGATTAGAGAATTTATTGTAAAATCAATTCCCAGTGGTGCGTGAGTCGAAAGGGAAGTATCTCAATAACTAGTCTACGCCCAAATATAGTAGATCAATTTTCAAAAATTTTCCAAAAAATTTTTCAAGTTATCATATGTAATCGTTACCCTTTCCTAGCTTTATAGACATAACAGCACATGTGAATGTGTGGATAACGGGGAATGATCGTTTGGCAACAGTCAATGTTTTTAGAAAATCGAAATAATTCAACTTGATACGGTCAAAATACCGAGCAAGACCTGCACTATTTTTGGCAAATACCAACGAATTAAACGATAAAATGATGGAGTTTCGTATGCAACAGAAAAAATGTTCACAGCTATAAAGCAAAGACTGCCCATAAAATTCAAATGTCCTTCGAACATGACTAGAAGTTGGTACCAAATGGTTGGAACCTCGATAAAAACTCTCTTCGCCTAAGAATTTCTGAAATCAAAACTAAAAATCACCAAAATCAGACGCACACAAAACGCGCTTGTTAAAACACGCGTTATTACTGCAAATCGTAAGCAGATGATTAAAAGAGATTTGCGCTATGACATTCTCGAATCAAATTTTAAGG